GAAAGCACTTTTTGAATTAAAAATGTGGTCAAAACCGAGATTTTTTGGGAATTTTTGAATTCCAGAAACTTCATAATCCGTCCCTCCAAAGGCCTTCTCGATGTCAACACTCTGAATTGGCCGATTTTCGTCGCGATGGCTATCGGATGGATGATTACCGTACTCTGTATCACGAAAGGAATGAAATTCGTGGGAAAACTGGCATATGTTACAGTAATCCTACCGTACTTTATAATGTTCGTACTGTTTGTAAGAGGTGTCACCTTGGATGGAGCATCTCACGGGCTCAAATTCTTCCTGCTCGCTTCGGATTTCAGCTCGCTGTTGAGATGAAGTTTTGAAGAGACGCAGACAACGAGACACCTCTAACGCCTGCATCTGAAGCTAGAGTTTCTCGTTTTCTGCGTCTCTCGCCTCCTAAACTTTGAAACGCTGTATTTCAGCTTCTAGATGAGCTAGAGAGTTGGTTTCTGAACAGACTTAAATAGGAAATATAGTTAAAAAAAGGAAACAAAGGAACTTAACTTAAAAAAGGAACTTAGGAAATATAGTTTATTTAATGATTTAAAAACGAAAAACAGAACAAATTAATTTATACAGATCGACTTTTGAAAACTACAGTAGCCACGGTAGCAGGAGAACTCCTCTTGAACATTTGTTGTAGTTTTTTGCGCATCTGAAAACGTACTTTTTTTCGAAGAAACTGAAATGAAAAAAAATCATTACCGGAGAGCTGAAAAAGTACAGTAACCAAGGTTGAACAAGTGTCAAACCATCACTAACAAATGGGCGAATAATTGAAAGATACGGTAGATAATCGGAATGCTCGAAAGTGAGCATTCCGATGCTTAGAAAATTCCCAATCACTTGGATAATCAAAGTGATTGAGGTGATTTCGAGGAAATTGGATTCTGGAAAAAAACAGTTCAAGAATTTGAGAATTCAAAATTTCAATTTTCAAAATTTCAGATTTTTTGGAGTTTCAGATTTTTTGGAGTTTCAGATTTTCTGAAACTTCTAGTTTTTAGAAACTTCAGATTTTTTGAATTTCAGCATTTCAAGATTTCTTGAAACTGAATTTCCAGCAATGCTGATATTCTGAAGACTCTGAAATCCGAAAAAAAACTTTTTCAGACAAATATCTTCCAATGGCTTTTATATTTTCAACTGGCTATCAAATGGCATTTATGCAATACGGAATGACCACAATTATCACTCTGAACCGTCTTACTGTACTTTTGAATTTCACATTTTTTGAACCAGTGAGTTAATTTTGTTTTTGGAAATTTTCAATTTTTCGAAACATCCTTTTCAAAAATCATTAAAAATCTAGAAAAAAAAGATAATTATTTTTGAAAATTTTCAAAAAACAATTTTTTTTTTGAATTTTTGGATTTTTCAGATCTGGAAGAAATACAGTTGGCTATTAGTTATTTTCCTCATCTTTCTTCCATTTTTGAGCACAAAAGTTGCTCTGAATTATGATTCCAAATTCTCATATCAGAACTCGACGGATTATTTTTTACTGACTTCTGGAATGCCAGTTTGGGAAATTTACTCAATTTTAATTCCATTTATGATAGTTACCATAGTTACTAGTTTGGCGGCTAATTTGTCTAGTTTCGTTTTTGTCAAACATCGAAAATTGGTGATGGCTTATAAAGCAGGTAAGCTATCTGAAGATTTGAAAACCTGAAAAATATTTAAATCTGGAAGACGTTAAACAATCAGAAAATCAGAAAACTAAAAATTTTAAAAATCTGTTAATTGTGAGAATCTGAGAATCTCAGAATCTCAGAATTTCAGAATCTCAGAATTTCAGAATCTCAGAATTTCAGAATCTCAGAATTTCAGAATCTCAGAATTTCAGAATCTCAAAATCTCAGAAACTCAGAATCTCAGAATCTCAGAATCTCGGAATCTCAGAATCTCAGAATCTCAAAATCTCAGAATTTCAGAATCTCAGAATCTCAGAATTTCAGAATCTCAGAATTTCAGAATCTCAGAATCTCAGAATCTCAGAATCTCAGAATTCCAGAATCTCAGAATTTCAGAATTTCAGAATTTCAGAATCTCAGAATTTCAGAATCTCAGAATTTCAGAATCTCAAAATCTCAGAATCTCAGAATTTCAGAATCTCAGAATCTCAGAATCTCAGAATCTCAGAATCTCAAAATCTCAGAATTTCAGAATCTCAGAATCTCAGAATCTCAGAATCTCAGAATCTCGGAATCTCAGAATTTCAGAATTTCAGAATCTCAGAATCTCAGAATCTCAGAATCTCAGAATCTCAGAATCTCAGAATCTCAGAATCTCAGAATCTCAG